ACCTTGTTTCGGAAATCTCCAGACACACTCATAGCGTTTATTGTATGGGGCGTGCAGATCGTAGGCTGGGCTAGTTGCAGACAGGTATGGTGCCTAAAGGGGTGCTAGTTGGAGTATCATCCCTATTACTAAGGATGGAGTATCCCAGCGCACTAGGTTCGGGGCAGAGGCGCACAGAAAGACCCTAAACCCTAAACCCTAAACCCTAAACCCTAAACCCTAAACCCTAAACCCTTAGACCCCAAAACCCTGAGTGCAAAGCTTGCGATGGCAGGATATCATCACGCGGAACACTGCGACCACGTCCTGTGAGAAAGCCAGTGAGCCGCTCCGCTCGTTTAGGGCTTTAGGGCTTAGGGTTTCTGGGGTTTCGGGTTTAGGGTTTGGGGTTTAGGGTTTGGGGTTTGGGGTTTAGGGTTTAGGGTTTGGGTTTTAAGGGTTTAGGGTTTGGGGTTTAGGGCTCTGCTTTAAGGTTCCTGGCATGGACGGACCAGTTAGTGTTGGCCCAAAAAGCGTCCCAAGGCATCCTCAAGCCCAAGAGTCCTTAGAGTTTCGGGTTTGGGCTTTACCCTAGGGTAAACCCTAACCCCTAACCCCTAACCCCTAACCCCTAACCCCTAACCCCTAACCCCTAAACCCTAAACCCTAAACCCTAAACCCTAAACCCTAAACCCTAAACCCTAAACCCTAAACCCTAAACCCTAAACCCTAAACCCTAAACCCTAAACCCTAAACCCTCAAACCTAAACCCTAAACCCTAAACCCTAAACCCTAAACCCTAAACCCTAAACCCTAAACCCTAAACCCTAAACCCTAAACCCTAAACCCTAAACCCTAAACCCTAAACCCTAAACCCTAAACCCTAAACCCTAAACCCTAAACCCCACTCCCCCCTCCCTGCCCCGAACCCGCAGGTGGCAGAAGTGCCAGGCACTCTTGCAGGGGGCCGAGGCGGGAGCTCTGCACCGCGACGCAGCGAGCCGCTCGACATAGGGGTTTCGGGTTTAGGGTTTAGGGTTTAGGGGCTTTCGGTTTAGGGTTTTGGGGGGTTCAGGGTTTAATTAGAGGGTTTAGAGGGTTTAGAGGGTTTGTAGCGTTTAGGGTTTTTAAGGTTTAGGGTTTACAGGGTTTAGGGTTTAGGGTTACCAGGTTTTGTTCCTGAAGTCAAGGGTGGTGTCTTCTGCAAATTTTTGGAAGGGTTAAGGGTGGAGAGAACAGGAGTTCCACGAGGTTGTGCATGGTCTAGATGGTCTGTGGTTCATGGGTTTAGGGTTTAGGGTTAGGCAGCAGAGTTCAGGCTTTTCACTCTGACCCCCTTGGTCCGTTGATTCACGGTGGGCTTTAGAGTTTAGGGTTCAAGGTTTGAGGTAATGGTAGGTTTATGGTTTCCCCTCTCCCCCCTGTGGTTCGTGCTGGGTTTACGGTTCAGGATTAAGGCGGTTAAGGTTTCGGGTTTACCCTTCTCCCCCGTGTGGTTCATTGGGTTTAGGTTTTAGGGCTTAGGGTTCAGGGTTTGGGGGTTTAGGTTGAGGGTTTCTCTCTACCCCCCTGTGGTCAGTGGTGTTTTGTGGTTAATGGGCAGGGTTTGGGGGGGATACCTTGGGGGGGGGGGGGGGGAGGAGATACCATTGGGGGGGGGGGGGGGTCGATTACGCGGAACACGGAGGGCTCATACTAAGGGACCTAAACCCCTGAACCGGAAACCCTAAACCCTAAAGCCCTATAACCCTAAACCCCAAACCCTAAACCCTAAACCCTAAACCCTAAACCCTTAGATTCAAGCGTGGCCATGCGCCCTCGAAGACGAGGCTTCGGAGTCGGTGTAGGGACCAGCCCTGCAACAAGATGCTGCCCTGAAGCCTCTAAACCCTTGTGGGGGTTTACGAAATTTCGGGTTTAGCGTTGAGCGTTTAGGGTTTAGGGTTTAGGGTTTACGGTTTAGGGTTTAGGGTTTAGGGTTTAGGGGGTCCCGCTTATAAGGGAAGTTGGGGTCTATTTTGTGGATCCCTCATTTTCGGCAACCCCTCATGAACCCTGAAAGCATGGAAAGCCCCGAGCAGAAAGTGCAGCCAAGGCTTCAACTCTGTGCGGAGCCCAGCCCACTCAGGTCTCAGGTGTGTTGGGGCTCCGAGATTGGTGGCCCCAAGCCCTACGAAGCCCGGGGGTTTAGGGTTTGGGCTGTAGGGTTTAGGGCTCAATTCCTACACCAGGCCACTTTTGCACTGCTAGAGCCAAGTGGAAGAGCTGTGCATCAAGACCAGCCACCAACCGTGCACGTGCGCATCGTGTACACACTTTCTAAGACTAGCTGGTTCTTAGTAGGGGATGAGGGATTGAGGTACCCTATACTACAATCTCTTAAAGGGTAGTATATTGTAGGGCCCTACTTCCCTCATTCCCTTCTAAGAACCAGGCGGAAGACCCAAAACGCCGAATCCGTTGCCTCTCGATCACTCCGCACATGCATCTAAAACACCACGGCTGTCTACGCGCCGTGCACCCCTGTAGTTCACAAATCCTTTAATCGGGCTAAACCCTAAATCCTACAAATCCTAAACCCTAAACCCTCAGTCCGAAATCCTAAACCCTAAACCCTGAACCCTAAACCCTAAACCCTAAACCCCTAAACCCCTAAGCCCCTAAGCCCCTAAGCCCCTAAGCCCCTCAACCCTAACCCTTTACCCTAAACCCCAGAATCCTAAATCGCCCCCCGAGGCGGTGTCACCTGCTCCTTGGCGTCTGGGCGTTCTGCTGCTCGCCGAGCTGGCGCTCTGCCGCGTGCAAAGGCGGGGCTCGGCTTGTTGTGCATTTTTGGTTTAGGGTTTAGAGGGTTTAGTGTTTGCTTTGGGGTTTAAGTTTAGGGTTTAGGGTTTAGAGGGTTTAAGTTTAGGGTTTAGGGTTTAGGGTTAACCGAATCATAACTGTACTTATAACCCGATTATCACCATAATTAGGGCACTTAAGGGGCTTCTAAGTGGGTTAATTGGTTATTTAGTACCATGAACCTGCAAATAGGATGCTCGAAACTGTTCTTGGCAGCCATGGTTTGAGGGCGTAGGATCTAGGACAAGAAGTTCTGATGCCTGCTTTTGACCTGGCCCATGAAGATTCCTCTGGCTCTAGAACCAAAACTAAACCCTAAGCCAGTCAGTAAGTACCCCCTAAACCCTGAACTAACCCTAAACCCTAAAGCCCTATAACCCTAAACCCCAAACCCTAAACCCTAAACCCTAAACCCTAAACCCTAAACCCTAAACCCCAAACCCTAAACCCTAAACCCTAAACCCTAAACCCTAAACCCTCAACCCTAAACCCTAAGCCAGTCAGTAAGTACCCGGAACCTCCAAGTACAGGACGGCAGTTACCACCACGGTTCAGCTGGCGCCTTTGGCGGCGGAGGTGCGGCCGCCAGGATGCTTAGAGGGCGGCAAGACGGGTTTGGGGTTTAGGGTTTAGGGTTTGGGGTTTAGGGTTTAGGGTTTGGGGTGTAGGTTTAGGGTTCCGGGTCCGAAGTCCTGCCGGTACAGTGGCAGGTCTTGGAGGAAGTAGGAGTGGCACTGCCGAGGGTTTTTGTAAGTCTGCCGTGGCCATGTGGGACGTGGCGTAGGTTTAGGGTTTAGGGTTTAGGGTTCAGGGTCTAGGGTTTAGGGTTTAGGGTTTAGGGTTTGGGGTGTAGGGATCCATCGCCCATCGTGGGGAGCGGCACAGCCAGGGGCAAGGGTGCCTTCCTTTGGGAAATGTCCAACGCGCTGCAGCCAAGCGCCCATCTCTTGCGATCTGTGCCGTATAGGTGTTCGACCCTCATTCGCGCAGTTCCCTAAACCCTAAACCCTAAACCCTAAACCCTAAACCCTAAACCCTAAACCCTAAACCCTAAACCCTAAACCCTAAACCCTAAACCCTAAACCCTAACCCTAACCCTAAACCCTAAACCCTAAACCCTAAACCCTAAACCCTAAACCCTAAACCCTAAACCCTAAACCCTAAACCCTAAACCCTAAACCCGAAACCCGAAACCCGAAACCCGAAACCCGAAAAACCCTAACCCCTAACCCCAAACCCTAAACCCTAAACCCTAAACCCTAAAACCGAAACCCTCAACCCTCAACCCTAACCGAGCCAAGAGCAAGACATCGTACAGAGGTGGCTCGTAAGTCATCTATTTAACCCGCACGCCCCTGCACCAGTCACTGGCCAGCCTTCAAAGTACCTTGAAGCCCTGTTCACACCAACATCCCAGGGTTTAGGGTTTGCGGTTTAGGGTTTAGGTTTTAGGTTGACGTGGGAAAATGCAGGGTATCTTTCGGAGTGCAACAAGGGTCAATCTAGGGGCTATAGGGTTTAGGGTTTGGGGTTTGGGTTTAGGTTTAGGGTTTAGGGTTTGGGGTTTAGGGTTTAGGGTTTAGGGCTTGGGGGCCTCGCAGGCCATGTGGCAGCGAGCCACTACATGCCTGGACCAGGAGGGAGCGAGGCACCGAGCACTTGCTCCAGGGCTGGGGTTAGGGACTTCGAGGGGTCAGGGCTGAGGGTTTAGGGTTTGGGGTTTGGGGTTTAGGGTTTAGGGTTAAGGATTTGGGGGTTTAGGGGTTAGGTTTAGGGTTAAAGGCTTGTTGGGTCTGGCAGAGGTGCTGGATGCAAAAAAGGGCACTTTTCCGTCGAAAACACATGGTGCAACAATATGGGGTTCATAGCACGCAAAGGGTTTAGGGTTTAGGGTTTAGGGTTTAGGGTTCAGCCCCCGACTTGGACAATGGAGCTCTGCTGCCAGCTTGGGATATAGAAGAAATCGTATACAATCTCATCGGCTGAGGTGTGTAAGCATGCCTGAACGCCTACTTGGAGGTTCATGGTACATATTAACCAACTATAACTGCACTTATAACTGTACTTATACCCATATTAGGGCAGTTAAGGGGCTTGCAAGTGGGTTATAAGTACAGTTATAATTGGTGAATAAGTACCATGAACCTCCAATATCTCACTCGCAAGGTGATGTCGGGATGGTCACTCGACGTGGCATGCACTGGGCTTTCTTAATCATATTTGGTTCAAGCGTTCTAGTTTGCTCCGTAGCATCTTTGTGCCACCACAGGTGGCCGGTGCTGGTTGTATTTGCCATGGCCATGGAGCTTGAGTATCGAAACACATTCATCGACGTGAAGGAGGAGTTCGAGGACATGGCGGGCAGCTCCAGCAAGGCCCGTGCGCAGAGCTCGCCGCCGGGGCGCGTGCGCCGCATCAGCTTCAGCCTGGAGGCTGCCAGCGAGGAGGACGCCATGCGCAGCTACGTGGGCACCCTCTCCCAGAAGACCGCGGACCTGACGAAGAAGCTCCAGGAGGACCAGACGCCCACAACAGCATGCGGCTCCAGCCCTACCAGCCCAATGAGCTGGGATGACAGCCCTGGCAGCCAAGTGGGCGTGGAGCATGTACCCGTCTTGGCGGAGTTCTTCCCGCTGCTGCCCAGCCAGGGCAGCCTTGGGCACCCGGAGGTGTGTCGGCGCCCCTGCATCTACTTCATCGCCGGGCACTGCGAGAACGGCCGTGCATGCGCCTACTGCCACATGGAGCACACGGAGAAGACGCCCAAGCTCGACAAGAGGCAGCGCACGATCATCCAAGGCCTCACCCGGCCGCAGTTGCTTGAGCTGGTGATGCACTTCTGCCGAAGCAAAGCCGAGCAGGCGGGATTCCTCGAAGAGGCCAGGGAGATTCTGGGGCTGCTGGCCCAGGAGTCCGCCGGTGCGCGGCCTTTGGCCCAGGTCGTGGCGGACCGCGACCTCCGCAACCTCCACAAGACGCTCGCGCGCATGAACTTCTCCAACTTGATCGGCCTGGTGACGCACCAGTCCCCCAACCGCGGGGGGAACGCCACGCCGAGCGCCGACCTCCTGGCCGCGTCCCTGGAGCAACTCCGCCGGCACTTCCTGCCGACAGTGAACGCGTGAGTGCAGGGTGTACCATGATTTTTGTAGACCTTTGAAGTGTGGCATTCTTGCGAGCCTGTCCCAGATGGAAGTGAGGCTTTGCAGGCATGCTGCAACGTGCCAGCTTGTCGGCATTGGGGGCTTCCCGCCAGGACTTACAGTAGTCGTGAGATTTCTCAGTCTAGATCTCTTTCTGCATTCGAGTACGATGGGCGCCGGGCGCCGACAACTGCACTTTTTACGTTTGGTCAGACTTGCCGCTGCCCTGTGGGACTTGTTCAACTTGTTCCTATAACACCCCCCTACAGAGGCTATTAGAGTCGAAGGGCAGCCTATCAGCACAGTGGCTGCCCTATACACTGAGCAGCGATCTTGAATTGGCACGTGCGCCATGCAGGGTGAAGTGAAGCCTTTCCCTGAGGTTGTTTGGCTTCACTGGCCGTGGTGCGCATGCTTTGGGATTATTCTTCTTGCTGTCTCCCCGGACTCCCGCGGCAGATAGATGTGCTGCTGCATCCAAGTCAGAGCCCATTGCCGCGTGTGTCTGCGACAGGTCTCGACAGGATCGTCGTAAGCTGGGGACTCTTGTTGCAGCTACGCTGCTGTCCGGGGTTCAGTGCTTGGTGCAAAGCGGGCCAGCAGCTCGAGAGAAGCGATGCTTCATGATATTTCGATTGAGTAATATGTAGCATAGTCGAAGGCGTGTGAAGACTTATGAAAGAAGCCACCTCCCCCCCATCATCAAGATGTGCATTTGCCCCCCTTCCCCCTGCCCAATACACAATTTGTCCGGTGAGAGGCTAGCTAGCGGCTAGTAATCAAGAGGCTATTCACCTTGTTAGGCGGCCACGGCGTGTTGGCAGCAGTAGGTTTGCGGCTTGTAACTAAGATGGCGGCGAAGCATGTAAAACCCTCTCATAAGCCTCAAGCTTCTCTCAACCGCCGGGCCGTAGGAGTTGTACTTCTACATGGGGTCCCCACCTACTGAGTTAATGCGACAGTCTTTCAGGGGTAGCGAGCTAGTGTTGAGCACAGCAGTTCGCTGCGTGAAATATACGTCGCTAGATGCTAGGCTCACGGAAGACATTAGCTTAAAGCCGCAGAAGGTTTGAACGTCGACGACTTGGATGCTGTAACTGCAGTAGAGAAGTTGGCTGCGCTGCGCAGTGCATGACTGCTGGCCCCTCACATTCAAGCACGCCTGGCGTGATTTCAATCTTGAGGCTTCGAAGTTCATCTCCCGGCATAGCTTCTTCGAGTTCCAGTTCGGGTTGGTAAATCCTAGGTAGGATAGGGGGGCCCTTAAAAGGGAAACCTTCTTAACCCTCTTCTGGCTCTCTTAAACAGGGACCCTATTCAGACGTATCCCCAAGGTCCCTTAACCCTCTTCTGTCTCTCTGAAACAGGGACCCTATTCAGACGTATCCCAGGTCCCCCTAACCCTATCCCGCCTATCCCCTGTGAAACCCAAAGACAGATGCTGGGGCTGCTGCAAGAGATGCATGGGGGGCGATTGTACATACGATAAGCGTCCTTATAGGCCCTATAGCCTCCCGTGGTCGTCCTTTCGCCCCTAGGGTGTGTGGAAATGGCTTTGGCGCGTAGCCTGACTTTGTAGCCCTTTGAGGACCGACCATGGACGGTTGAGGTCGATAGCATACGATGTTGCTGAGGGAAGGTCGTGAAGTCTTGGAGGATCTGAATTTTGACGCTGACACGAAGCTTGCATTTGAATAGCAGGCACAGGGGCCGAAGATGTCGGTTCCCCAGACCATGTGAGTCTTTTGGGCGTCTCCCATGCTGCATGAACACTTTGCGCAGGAGCCATGCCTTAAATGCCTTAAATCATCGACTCCAAAGCGGACTTGTCATCCTTTGTTGTCTAAGGTGTGCTATGGTACGTGAGAACCCAATATTCTTGAGAGCCTCTGTTGCAAACCTACTTTACTTGGGGGACAGGTCATGGAATCATGCTTCGGCAACGAATCCACCGGTTTACTCGAGCGCGCTCACTTGAGTGCACAGTGCCTGATCTTGTGCGGCACCCGTTACGTTCCGCATCCGCCCTCTGCTTCCTGAGCCGGGGATGCAGGAGGCCGTCCGAAAAAGAGGCCGTGACAGACGATTGTAGACGCCGATGCGTACACCCGGAAGAGACGATTGAGATTGAGGCTCGAGGTGGGGTTAAGTAGAAGGGAAGCTTCTAGAACAAAAACGCATGAGGCCCACAGCCACCGTATTGAATCCCTGCACTAGCCGTGCCTGCCTGCTTCACTCACAGCAACTGGGCCAGCCGAGTTAGCCGCTGCTGCTTTGGCCCCCAAGCCTAGCGATTTGTTGGTATTTTGCCAGATCTTAGGTTGGTGTTCGTTTCCCCGCCATGGCCATGGAGCTTGAGTATCGAAACACATTCATCGACGTGAAGGAGGAGTTCGAGGACATGGCGGGCAGCTCCAGCAAGGCCCGTGCGCAGAGCTCGCCGCCGGGGCGCGTGCGCCGCATCAGCTTCAGCCTGGAGGCTGCCAGCGAGGAGGACGCCATGCGCAGCTACGTGGGCACCCTCTCCCAGAAGACCGCGGACCTGACGAAGAAGCTCCAGGAGGACCAGACGCCCACAACAGCATGCGGCTCCAGCCCTACCAGCCCAATGAGCTGGGATGACAGCCCTGGCAGCCAAGTGGGCGTGGAGCATGTACCCGTCTTGGCGGAGTTCTTCCCGCTGCTGCCCAGCCAGGGCAGCCTTGGGCACCCGGAGGTGTGTCGGCGCCCCTGCATCTACTTCATCGCCGGGCACTGCGAGAACGGCCGTGCATGCGCCTACTGCCACATGGAGCACACGGAGAAGACGCCCAAGCTCGACAAGAGGCAGCGCACGATCATCCAAGGCCTCACCCGGCCGCAGTTGCTTGAGCTGGTGATGCACTTCTGCCGAAGCAAAGCCGAGCAGGCGGGATTCCTCGAAGAGGCCAGGGAGATTCTGGGGCTGCTGGCCCAGGAGTCCGCCGGTGCGCGGCCTTCGGCCCAGGTCGTGGCGGACCGCGACCTCCGCAACCTCCACAAGACGCTCGCGCGCATGAACTTCTCCAACTTGATCGGCCTGGTGACGCACCAGTCCCCGAACCGCCTGGGGAACGCCACGCCGAGCGCCGACCTCCTGGCCGCGTCCCTGGAGCAACTCCGCCGGCACTTCCTGCCGACAGTGAACGCGTGAGTGCAGGGTGTACCATGCTTTTATTAGTCCTTTGAAGTGTGACATTCTTGCGAGCCTGTCCCAGATGGAAGTGAGGCTTCGCAGGCATGCTGCTACGTGCCAGCTTGTCGGCATTGGGGGCTTCCAGCCAGGACTTACAGTCGTCGTGAGATTTGTCAGTCTAGATCCCTTTCTGCATTCGAGCACGAGAGCCGTCTTTTTCTTTGGTGCTTGCGCCGGTTGCCGATGACTGCACTTTTTACGTTTGGTCAGATGTGCCGCTGCCATGTGAGAAGGGCAGTCTATCAGCACAGTGGCTGCCCTTCACACTGAGCAGCGATCTTGAATATCTTGAACTGGCACACGTGCCACGCAGGGCGGCGTGAAGCCTTTCCCTGAGGTTGTTTGGCTTCACCGGCTGTGGTGCGCGTGCTTTGGGATTATTCTTCCTGCTGTCTCCCCGGACTCCCGCGGCAGATGTGTGCTTGCTGTAGGCGTTTCCTGTGACTACACGTTGAGGTTAAGTCCCATCAAGCTGGATGCAGCTGCATCCAAGTCAGAGCCGATTGCCGCGTGTGTCTGCGTCAGGTCTCGACAGATCGTCGTAAGCTGGGGACTCTTGTTGCAGCTACGCTGCTGTCCGGGGTTCAGTGCTTGGTGCACAGCGGGCCAGCAGCCAGAGAGAGGCGATGTTTCATGATGCTTCGATTGAAAGTTAATCATATGTCAAGAAGTGGAAGGCATGTGAAGACTTCTGAAAGAAGCCACCTTTCCCCCCCCCCCCACCATCATGTGCATTTGCCCCCCCTTCCAACTGCCCAATACACAATTGGTCCGGTAAGAGGCCAGCGAGCGGCGAGCAAGAGGCTATTCATCTTGTTAAGGGGCCACGGCGTGTTGGCAGCAGTAGGTTTGTGCTTGTAGCTAAGATGGCGGTGCATGTAAGACCTCCCCAAGCTGCAAGCTTCTCTCAACCGCCAGGCCTTTGGAATGCTAATTCCATATGGGGCCCCACCTACGCGGAGTTACTGGGATAGTCTTCCAGGGGCTAGTGTTGACCAGCAGTTAGCTGCGTGAAGTATACGTCGCTAGATGCTAGGCTCACGGAAGACTTAGTTGAAAGCCACAGAAGGTTTGCACGTCGACGAGTTGGATGCTGTATCTGCAGTAGAGAACTTGGCCGCGCTGGCAGTGCATGACTGGCCCCTCACGTTCAAGCACGCCTGGCTAGATTTCAATCTTGAGGCGTCGAAGTTCATCTCCCGGCATAGCTTCTTCGAATTCCACTTCGAGTTCGTAAACCCAAAGCCCTTGTAGATGCTGGGGCTGCAGCAAGAGCCGCACGGGGAGTGACCGCAGATACGGCCAGGGATGTGTGGAAAGGGCTTCAGCACGTAGCCTTCTTAGGTTATCCCTCGGGTATTGATGGTGCCGAGTAAAGACCCATGAGGTCTTGGAGGATCTGAATTTCGACGCCGAAGCGGGCTTGTGTTTGAATAGCAGGCACAGGGGCCGAGGATGTCGGTTCCCCAGAACATGTGAGTCTGTTGGGTGTCTCCCTTGCCGCATGAACACTTTGCGCAGGAGCCATGCCTTGACTCACATTTGACTCATTTGACGGACTTTCCTCAACTCCAAAGCGGACTTGTCATCCCCTTGCTGTTTGAGTTTTTTTCCACCATACATGAGAACCTCAATATTGAGAGCCTAATTTGCAGACCATCTTCACTGGAGGGATAGGTCCTGGAATCATGCTGTGGTGGCCTGGGCCCAGATCTTGTGCGGCGAACGTTTCGTTCCGCACCCGCAGTGTGCTTCCTGAGCAGGAGAT